AGGGTGGGCCTGCTACTAACTTTTTAGAACAACCTCTCCCAACCTGGTGCCTCCCAGAGTTTTGCACTACAACTCCTATCTGCTCCAAACAGCATGGCCAATACTCATGAATGAAGGGAGTTGCAGCCCAAGCCATATAAAAAGCATCAAGTTGATGAAACCTATCTTGGCAGAATGTCTAAGGGAGGGGTAGGCAACCTAAGACCTGTGAGCCGGATGCAGCCCAATCACCTTCTCAATCCAGCCTGCGGATGGTCTGGGAATCAGTGTGTTTTTACATGAGTAGAATGTTTCCTTTTATTTAAAATGCATCTCTGGCTTATTTGTGGGACATAGGAATTTGTTTATTCCCCCCCCCAAAAAAAATACAGTCCAGCCCACCACATGGTCTGAGGGATGGTGGACTGGCCCATGGCTGAAAAAGGTTGCTGACCCATGGTCTAAGGCCAACATTCAGTGGTAGTTACTTTCATAATTGAGGCTTAGGATTGGGGTACAAAATGCTCTTTGGCATGAGCTATCCGACTGCGAGTATTTAATATACATGGGAATTTTTCAGTGGAACAGAAGCCAACAAAGGCAATTATAATTTCCACTCACAGACAAGTAAACACACAAGTTTCAAGAAACGGCTTCAGGCCCTGAAGAACTAAGTTCCTTCTATGCTAGCCTCTTTATGCCAAGAAAAAGACTACAAATCTGTTTGTGGAGATGGTGAAGACAATACATTAGGCAAGCACTAGAAGCTTCTCTTTTCTGGTAATAAAAGTATAACACTATAAATTAAATCCTGATTAAATCCCTGAGGCCTAGAACAGCTACAGTAACTCAAAGGCACTCAACGGACACTAGCTTGACTAAAACTCACATATTCACATCCAAGTCTAACACTATTCATTGGACCACATTTTGTCTTTCACAACTTCGGGTCATACCAAGTTTCTCTCCATTATATTGTAAACATAATTATCCAGATAAAAGTTTATCTGGACACAGGCGGGAAAGAGTTTATGTCCAACTATTCAACACGGTCTTGAGTTTTTACTGTGTTCTTATTGTCAGGTTTGTCATCAGCTCCTAACTGCAAAGGGCAGGGGGAAAACTAAACCCTCACAGGGGACTCTCTCCATCCCTGGGGCACTTTGAAGTCCAAATGGTGGCTGACCTTGTTTTGGATTCTCAGGCCTCACCCGAGGGTGCCAACTGGAAAGATGTTCAGGTTTTGTAGTCTTCCCTGTTTGGAATACCTCTCTGGAAGTTGCTTCCCCCAGTTGTTTGTCTTGGCTTCTGGTATGGGAGACCTCCACCAGTTGTGGCAGTCTGGGCTCGGCAGGGCTTCTGCTGCAGCTTCTTCTGCTCTCTCGCCTTTGGGGCTTGCTGCTCTCTTCCCTGGCTGCTGAGGAAGCACAGGTGAGTCAAAGCTTCTCCCTCCCTCTTTCAGCTTACTTTCACATTGTCCTCCTCTCATTCTGCTTTTTGCTTTCTTTCTTTTAGAGGCAAATCCTGGTGAGCTGATTAATGGGCCAAACCACTGCAAACCTTAGTAGTAGTAATAATATTAATAATGGAAGAAGACACCTGATTAATTAAGAGGAACCATTATTTCTCAAATTTAGAGCCAGCTACAACTTATATTTCTTTCCCCTCATATTGTTCAGTTGATTAGATGAGTCATTGAAGTTACATCTAGGCTTTCAATTCTTTGCTCTAGGATGTTTTGATAGCTTTTCCCCGCACAATCTTAGCTACCAAGCCTTCACAGAACAGTATGTGTGTGTGACACGCGCGCGCGCACACACACACACACACACACACACATTCTAAGTGCTAGCAGCAACATTTGAGGAAACTGGTATTTGATGTTTTTCAAGCCCTGCTGCAGTTTTCCCATATTACTACATATTTTTATATTTTATTCTGTTTTGGTTGAGCCTGTCAATAATGGTAGGTAGACGTTTGGGAACGTTGATTCAGCTTTATGAGGGAATATATCCCATCTATCATAGCCAGAAATAGTCTCATAACCCAGTTGTGGATGATTTTATTAGTTGCATGGATGATGCTTTCATTTTATATGGGCAATAAATAATTATAATGTTTATATATAATATATAAAATATTTTGCATTATATTAATTACTCTCATGATTCATTGTGGCGGCCCTAATATTTTCTTCAGGCACACTATTTATGTTATGCATTATGTAGGTGTGTACGTTTGTATTACATTTCTAGATCTCTTCTCAGCTACGCTTCCAAAACAGTTTAGAATTTATTTAGCTGTTAATAGAAGTATATGAGATGAGGCCTTCTTCTACTGTGTCGGAACACCGATCCATCTAGTCCAGATTTGTATTCTATGACTAGCCATGGTTCTCTGCCACCCAATATTCTTTCAGTTTGAACCCGAGACCTTCTGCATGCAAGACATGAGCTTGAACATTGAGATAGGCCCCTCCTTTAATGCAATATAATAATTCAACACCAGAATTAAAATGTCTAACATATAGCAAATATTTCAGTTCAGCAGATCAGTATGAGAAGGATATTAGAGTCTTTTAATTCTCAGTTTAACTTCTGAATGTGAAATGCAGTCTGGAAGAGAGATGTCTTCTGCTATCCTCTTAAAAAATATCAAGTAATCTGGTCAATCAAGCTTCCCTAAGCAAGGAGTTCCTTTTAACTGGACATGCCAGGAACTGGGCAGGCTCTTCTGTATGTACAATGATCTTTCAGGCTTTTGCTTTTCTGTTGAACAGGAGCTGTACTGTTGCATTTGTGGCAGGGTCATAGATCAATTATAAAGTCTCAGATTTTAAAACTATCATGCTGAATTGCACTTGTAAGCCACCTTTTTTGGAGGGCTGATGTTTAAAAGCAGGTGTCATATGTTCCCTTCTGCCCACACTAGTATTTCTCAACCAGCAGTAGTCTCCTGGCAGTCTTCAGAGCCATATCATACAGAGTGCATTGCAATAATCTAATACAAAAGTCACCAAGGCATATACAGCAGTGGCAAAGTCCCTCCAACTAAAGAGAAGAAACAGAATAGCTATTCACCTCTCATGGAAGAGGTCACAAAGCCAAGCAAGGTATTTAACATCTCAGCTCCTCCTGACTCCATGCAGATACAACTAATTAGATTGCCATCTAGTGGTTAAACTATATAATGGCACTATCCACTATCCTGAACAAGAGATTTTCCTACCATCAATACCTGTTTTATCTTTAATCGGTTTCAATTTATTGGCCCCCATCCAACTCATCAGTGAAATGGAGTAAGTCACCTCAGTTGTATGTGACAGAAAGGAGGGAAGCAAGTGTGTGACAACCACACATTGATTGCACTGAATGCCATGCCTTCCAAATACCTCTCTTGGTGGCTTCACATAAATGTTGAAAAGGATAGGAGTCAGCATAGAACTGTGTACCGCCCTATGGGAAAATACAGCAGCAGGCTACCACCACCACCTTCTGGAATCTTCTCAAAAAGTAGGAATTCCTCCAACTCCGTCAGACAGAGAGGATCAATGGTTACAAAGGCCACAGCAGATTCAACAGTGTTCCCAAAAAATATATTTCTGAATGGCTCATAATTACCTTCAGTCAAAAGGACCCACAGATGACTCACATGATAGCCATTCTTTAAGAAGGCATTAAGCAACAACCTAATGGCTCTGGCCCCTTTTGGCATAGCAGAATAAATGAACAAATGCAAGGATCAAGAGCCACAATATCCTATTCTTCCCCTCCATTTCACTCACCTACAAATGGTATATTTTTAAAGCAGCAGACTATAAAGATATCACACAGAAGGTTTGAAGCTCAAAGCAGACTTTGAAGTAAATTCACCTTCACCACCCTTGAAAAGGGCTGTGAGACTGCAGTAAGACTAGCTTTTCAAAGAACTCAACAGGGGGAAGCTCTTCCCTTAATGTTTAGGCAGATGCCTAAATGGTGAACTAAGCTCTTTTGAAGATCTCATCTACACAGGGAATGTTAAACCTCAAAAATAAAAATAAATTTCCTATTGGTTTGATATGCTGAGGCTTCTGATGGCATAAAGCCTAAGGCATGGTAAGCCCCCTTCCTTCTCCCTTAATTTGTCTGCAATGGAAATAAAACACTTGAGACTCATTAGTCTGGTGGGCATGGATAGAAGCTCTCATTTTTCCCAGTGTTGTGGAAAAACTGAAATTCATACATTGGTTGCTACATCTGTTATTAACTCAGCAAAGTCAATACCAGTAACCTTGTTAACTAGAAACGTCTTTGGGCTCATATACCCAAATATCCCTGGTGTAATAGAATCCCACCAATGTCATTTGGTTGTGAAAATACTGATGTCATTTATTACCACTGGTATACCAATAGGTAAACCAGATGGCTAGTAAAACCTGAAACCTTTTCCCCAGCTCGTAGCCTAGAACAGATTGCTGGTTTGGGTAGAGACGACGGAGCTACAGATGCTAATCTTGCACTTGTCTTATACAGTATCTATGTTCTTTAAAAGCCAATTTCTGGCATAAACTTCTTCCATTCACAAAATGTCTCCTGGAATGCTTCTTGGAATGCACGGATTTCCTTTGATAGGTCATCCTTATTCTTAAACAGTCCCATGAATTAACACCACCTGATTACAGAGTTAGTTAACTTAAAGCAAGTTGCAACGGTGACTTGGTGGTGTGAAACTATCACTATTGTTACCAATGGGAATTATCAGTTGCTGAGTCCAGTTCTATATAGGGGTCTCAATCCAGCAAAAGTTAGGGTGTATGCAAACTTACTTAAAAACTGTAGTTGCCACAATCTTTTCTACTTATGTTATGAATCCTATTCATAGCATACTGTGCATAGTTCTGGTTGGTGTTCTTCTTCACACAGTGCATACACTATACACTTAAATGACACCAATTTGTAGTCATGGCCACCCATGTTCAGAGTAAAGCTACCCTGGGGGATTTGTCTATTTTTCAACAATTCAATAAGTGTGCTTCCAGAGTACCTAAATTCTAGCTCAGATGGTAGAGCACAAGACTCTCAATCTCAGAGTTGTGAATTCGAGCTCCATGTTGGACAAATGATTCCTGCATTGCAGGGGGTTGGACTAGATGATCCTTGTGGTCCCTTCCAACTCTACAAATCTCTGATTTTTTTTTCCTATGCAGCTCTGTATGCAACCAATGGGACAATTTGGTAACAGTAAAGTCTTTTTGCTTTCAGTAGGACTTGGTCATTATTTCTTTATTTAATTTCTATCCTGCCCTTCATCTGAGGATCACAGGTTAGTTTGCAGTATAAGAACACAAAACTACATACCATTATAACAAATAAAAACAATAACCCCCACCATCTTTCGAGTCAATTTAAACCGCCATGTGTTGCACCCTGATCCTTAGAACTAAGCTCTACTTATTCCAATGGGGCTTGCTCACAAGTCTGTACAAGGGGGGAGGGGGAATTCACAAACCTTGTTGCAGTAGTGAATAGCTCCCTAGCATTGAATGAGTTGAACCCCATTGTTATTAAACTGAATATATTCTATTACTTTTTTTTGCAGAAAGGCATGGTTCAAACAAGTGTCTCCACTTGGACTAAGTAAACCTATTTGCCTCTCACTATATGTGCACCACTCTTTCTGAAAAGAAGGTGGAAGACCACACACCTCTCTGGCAAAGAATCTCAACACTGCCTGAAGGTTTAAGCCAAGTGGATTTGTTCCACCATAGACCTGACCCCTTCAATGTTTACAGGACTGCAAAGCATCGTCCTAAAAAAACAAAAACAAAAAGAACCATGGTTCTCAGTAACATGATTAAGTACCATTTTCTGAAGCTTTCTTTTCTTTTCTTTTGTCTTCATATGAAAATAGAATCCATCCCAGGGCTTGCATAACTTTTGTTCAAGTACATTGCATGATCTGATATCACAGCAAATGCTGGTACCTGCTATTAATTTAAACTAATAGGAAGCAATCCACATCATTCTGATCTGATTTGGCAGTCCCACCAGAAAAGCAATGCTAGGCAATTTCCATTTCAAGTAGGTTTTTCCACTCAAACCTCAGTAGTCAGAGTTCAGCAGACAGCAGGCAAAAGTTAAAATGAAAGATGATGGAGAAAGGATTTCTTGGGACTATCTGAAAATTGAGAGGTTACTAATGATCAGCAAGCATGCTCCGGGCAGCACCCAGCTTTCTGACCTGGTGACCTGAACTATGTTTGTGCTTATAGTAAAAGCATTCAAGCAGAGAGTTGGGGAATTAAAGTCTCTATGTAGGAGAGCTTCCCGCATGCTATTTCCACCTCCACCCCCACCCCGTTTTGCCTCATTTATTAGCGAGTATTACAGAAACAAAGAAAGTTGAACTAAGAACTTTCAAGCTGTTGTTTCTCCTTGTAAGCTGAATCCTTACATCTACTAAAAAGCGTTACAGTGATGGAGATGGTTTGCCTTTCTGGACAAAAAATATGTATGCCAGATCTCCTGTTCTTCCCTACTTTCCATTCTATGGCTTGATCTTATCCACCAATCTTGCCTGCATGCCTCCATCCCAAATTTCATTCCACAGTTTAGTAGAGATTTACAGTATAAAAAGAGTCTTGAGAGAGCAAATTGAAGATCCACCATTCTTCTTCTTCCCACAGTGGCCAGCCAGCTACCCAGCAGGGCAAGAAAACCTTTCCTCGCTCCTCAGCAACTGGCATGCAGAAGTACAATGCCTTGGAAGGTTCAGTATACCAAAGTATACTCCTTCCTGAGTCCTCTGGTGGAAGTATGGGCCAGCTTCACAACTCTACTTTTGCTTTCCTCATGGTTCACTTGTGTGCTTTAAATTTACAAAGCAGTTCATAATGAAGTCCATAATCGGCATCTCTTAATGAATCTAGGACTATTCAGATGCTTATGTCTGTGTAACATGCACATGCATAGAGCGGGGACTGAACCGGCACCTGATGGCCTATACACATCAGACATAGTATGTCTGTACATAACCTATGCATATGTAAACTGTGCACCCATAGACTCCGCCTAGGTATAAGGGACCCATGCGGGGGGGACCCAGACGTTATGCTGAACATATATACCGGGAAGAAAGTAGGGCCAGTAGGAATAATCCCAATCCCTACTCTGCATACATTCATTTCACATAGTCTGCACAGTCCTGATGGGTTCAAAAGGTGTACCAAGAGGTGTACCAAGTCCAACATTCTTTGTAAGAATCCTAGCAATACACCTGTCTGCTTATTTTTAACAGAATGCCTTGCTGAGTGATGTCCAATGTGCTCTGTCACTATACTTCTATGGGTGTTTAGACCTTGCTTCGTGGAAAGGGCTTTGGTTAACTGTGAAATTTTTCTGGTTTAGGTTTGATTTGGGGTTTGTTTGTTTTTGCTGTTTTTATTTGTTAAGCAGATCAGATACTATTAATTTGAATTTACATTGTGGGGTACAGAGATTATGTCTGTTTTAGTACTGCTGGTTAGAAGTCTTGAGTTTCCTTGGAGAAACAGGGAGACAGACAACTCTAAAATAACAAAGAAACAAATTATATTTGATTTCAAAATTAATTTGTATCCTGTATATTCTCCAGGAACCTCCTGGTGGTGTACATAATACTTATTTCCCCCCATTTTATCTTCACAACCTCCCTTTGACAGATTGTGATCATGATCTCCCAGTGAGCTTCATGGCTGAATGAGGATTTGAACATGAGTATTTCCACTTGTAATCTTGGCACTACACAACCACTGGCTCTTGATCTCCACTGCTCGCCGCCTTTCAAATCAAAGCTGGTGCTCAAATAGTATGTTGCAATCAGTTGCTTGTTTTCACGACTAGGGTTTCACATGAGCCAAGAACTTAACAAAACACCACAGTAGCAAGCAACTTCCAAAACTGCAACAGTTCCAACATTTATTTCCCTGACGATGACAGAAGTTGCTTGCTACTGTGGCAATATTTGCATTCTTTGGACTGTTTTCTTCCATCAGTTTTGTTCCACTGGAAGTTGTCAAGCAGAATAACTGGAGGATAACATCTCATAACTGATTCTGTCGCTAGCATTACACAATATTTTTTAGCAGAGTAAAGATAAAGTAGGCTGGGCTCATGGCAAATAGCATTCTACTTTGAAATTTCCTGCTTTGGGGCATAATCCAGAGAAAGTTACATACAGCCTTATAACCTGTTGATTGTGCCACTAAACCCGTCAATTTCTATGGTTCATCTGCATGCCTGGCTTTTTTGGGAATCTATCCTGCAGCACTAATGAACAACAGTGTAGAGATTCCATGTATGATACTTGTATCATATTTGTCTCTGTGTTAAATGAGGAAACATTTAGTCAAAATCAGCTCTCTTTACAAACCCTTTGAATTCAGTGGGAAAGAGTGGCAGACCAATCCTATGAATGTGTGTGTAGGCTGATTAATATTCCACAGTCTTTTAAATGTGTTTGTGGGAGGGGGTTATTGTTTTGTGGTTTCTGTTTATTTATGCTTTTATCTTGTGAACCGTTCTGAGATCTGTTGATGAAGGGTGGAATATAAATCAATCAATCAAATAAACAAATAAGTCACAATGAGTTCAAAGTAAGTGTACACAGGAGTGTAACTCTGAGAATCTGCGCCACTCTCCTACTGAAATCATAGATAAATGACATTTACAAACGCTTAATTTTGTCTAAACTGTAACCAGTGTTTTTGACCATTTAATTGACAATGATATCCGCCATGTCTAATGGAGTTACTCTACTGTGATTTAGCAACTATAAAAATTTATTCATTCCCATTGCCTAATAGCAATTCATTTTCAGAATGGGATTAAAGGGGCTCTTGTTGAAAACATGATGTGCCTTTTGTTTTCGCAGGAAATTCCTCATGAAATATGTTTTGAAAAAGTCATTAACTGTAATATATACAGTATTCCTGAACTGGGGATCAAGTGTGATCAAAAAGGGCAAAAAAATGTAGCAGATATTAACGCTGACAATATCAGCTCCATAGGTTTCTGTTTTCGTTATTAGCAGAGCATTTGGCTATGTGTAGTTTATTTTGTCAGGGATGAGGAATCTGAGGGCCTAAATGCTGTTGGACACCAGTTCCCATCTCCTCCAGCCAGCATGGTCATAGTCAGAGATGAGAGAAGTGTCTGATGATAAGAGCCATAGGTGCCCCATTCTGATGTAAGTCATATGTGGCAAACACAAACACTGGAACATCTATGCAGGCTACCAACACTGAGAAGTACTGGTAGTGGTTGAAATGGTCTGTTCTAGAAATCTATTTTTGTAACAGGTTTTTAGAAGCTCTGAAGTTAGTGGCTGAGCACCAAAGCACATGGCTTTGATCAGGCCTGCGTAAACTGTGCTCAACCAAGCTGAAAACAGCTCACAAGCCATTTAGTATGGCCTGCCAGGTGCTTTGGTGCCTTCTGTGCTTCCTCCTATACATAGCTGCTGAGGCATATTTGGCTTGGTGGGTCACAACTTAATGTAGGTCTTCTGAGCATGCCCCAGATCAACCCAAATACATTCATGTCATGTCTCAGACTCAAAAACCTGACCCCAGTTAAATCAAACATTCGGAACTGCAAACTACTGTTGCTGTCTTTGTCAATTTTTGACCCTGAACACCAGCTGTCACCTCAGTGTATCTCAAACTCTCCAAGTGTCCCTATTTTCCAGGGACATCCCTGATTTAGATAAGCTGTCCCAGTTTCTGATTTGATCCCAGAATGTCCCACTTTTCCTTAGGATGTCCCTATTTTCACTGGAGAAATGTTGGACTGTACGGAGTTATCTGACCCCTGAGCAGTCTGAAGGCAATGCTGTATAAGGAAGTGTTTTTAAAAAAATGTTTAATGTTTTATTATGCTTTTATATATGTTGGAAGCTGCCCAGAGTGTCTGGGGAAACCCAGTAAGTTGTGTGGGGTATAAATAGTAAAATTATCATTATGGAATGGGACGTCCCTGTTTTCATTGGAGAAATGTTGGAGGATATGGTATCTGCTTCTTCCTTTGCTACTGATTGATGCCATTTTTATTTTAATGTAGCAAAAGAGGCTTATGTACAAGCTGAAGTCTCCCACTTAAGTCTCACTGGGGCTTGTAAGTGCTTCGTTATGACCGGATTAGGATCAATACTTCCCCAGCTGCTGGAAACCCAAAGCTCAATCAAAATACTGCCATGCACACAAGTCTACTCAAATGTAAAGACAAACATGCTAGCCTGAAGCTCACCAACATCTTTGCTGCCCCCTCTGAGAGGGTAACCACAAAGAACGGCCCAAAGCTTTTTCCAGGAAGAGTGGAGCTTGAATTCTGGGCTCCTGGTTCCAGGCAATCTCTAGTGGTGATGCAGCTTAAAGAGAGTTTGTGATGACTAACTCAGAGTGACTCATATGCAGATTGTCTTTGTGGCTCAGCTTTCAAATACTGTAATGGGCCACAGCCAAGATACTGGCTGGAAAATAAACCAGTGCTCTGCTGCTTATTGATGGGGATTCTGCTGTATTTCCTCGCCCTTCTCTCTACCCCTTGTGCTGAAACCAGCACTGTATTTACTTCTTCATTTGTAAGCTGTATTTCCCCAAACATGATCACTGTTTGTTTCACCCTCTCACCCATTAGGGTAGCCCATGAGGTATCCTCCACATGTTGTTGGGCTATAACTCTCACAATACTTGATCATTGGCCATGCTGGCTGAAACGAATGCAAGACGAAGCCCAACAAAAGCTAGAGGGCACCACAATGGCTACCCCTATAGGCATAATTACTTTGCCCACCCACACCCTCATAATTATGCCCCACTGACATACTGGATCTTCCTAGCTGTAGCCATCACTGAAAACGGGGATGGAAACAAAGCAAATATACTACAAACACACACACACACACACACACACACACACACACACACACTTTATCTAAGCCAAAAGGCCTGTATATGCCTGTAGCGGAAAACAGCTGCATGTTTAATGGCAACAGTGGACAGCAAAAGCAAAACAGACACTTGGGAATAGCAGGTACGACAAAGGTACAAGGACAATAGGTGGTACTAGCATCAGTGAATGGGCTGTTGAATTATTATTCGGTAGACAAAAATATAAGATGGGGAGAATGCAATGAGAGAGTACTGCCAAATGGCACCGCTAAAGAAGGCAAAGAACGAACATGGTATCGTTCAAAAACTCACGTATAGGAGAGCAAAACTACCACGACAACTTGGCCCAAGTAAGCACATGAAACAATATATCCAAAAGGCACTGGCCCCACGGACATTTCTGATATGATCAATTAAATGTGGTCAAACCAAACACACTGAAGGTATCATCCCATTGGAACTGTGGGAAACAAATCCCATGTGAGAAAGAACTGGTGTCCACCCCTCCACCTTGGATGCATCTCCGTTCTCTTCAAGAGACACACACAGCCGTTCACCATGGCTCAGCTAATCATTGCGACACAGACAGAGATGTGCACCAGCATCACAATGCATACAGAAAGGTGCTTATGCTGGTGGTTTTGACTTGGTGAAGCAGGGCTCTGTCCTCTTAAAATAAAGACAAATTCCTAAGGAGATTTCTGTGAACCACCCTGAAACCCCCGGATATAAGATGGTATATAAATTCAATAAATGAAGAAGAAGAAGAAGAAGAAGAAGAAGAAGAAGAAGAAGAGGAGAATCCAAGAGAATATAAATCACCTATCTAAAATAGCCTGCCTCATAACCTGAGGCTATGCAACAAATGTGGAATGTTATCTGTTTTTTAAGTACATGTGTTCCTAGACCTATGAACATTGAGCACCTGGGCTACTCCTGATTTTTGCCAGGGGAACATTACAACTAAGATAGCCTAGCCTAGCCCACCCTTCACCAACCTGGTGCCCTCCAGATGTTTTGGACCACAACTACCAATAGGCAGCAAAAAACATCTGGAGGGCAATAGGTTGGTAGAGGCTGGGTTAGACTGTTAACTTATGGCTAACATACTGTAGCTGTATGAAAGATCCTACCAAAACTCTGATTGGCAGAAAATAAAAGTTCAAGCACAATTAATATCTAATGCCATAGAACACTTGAGACAATGTTCTCTTGCAGAGGACGCAAAATAAAGAGGACTATATATGAGGAGGGACCAAGAAACCAAGAAACTAGTAATTACTGGAAAACTGCAAGGAATAATGAATCCACCGTCAATGGGCAAATGCACTGTGTATTTTTATCTTAGACATCTGCAAGACAGAATAAGATTGTGTTGAACTGAATAGTTCCCCAGCGTGCAATACATTGTAGGCTGTTCCAGCTTCAGTTGGAACAATGTTATGCTAAAGGAAAAGTATGCTTTCGAATTCAAGTCTCCACACTTTCATGTAATGTTTTAATATATTCTTCTACAATAAATAAACTGAATATATTAATATAAATAAATTGGATTATGTACTTTTCAAAAATGTCCCTCCTAAGAGTCTTAGAAACCTTTTCTTCTTTAGAGATTTCGGATTCTAGATGTCACCCAAATATTACATAACATATAACTATCAGGGTTAATTTACCAATCTTTTTTTCCCCCAGCTTGAAAGATGGCCAGGGGATTTTTAGAGGATTCAAAGCCCTTCCTTTTTACCCTTTTTAAGCCTTTTTCACTGATTCTTTTGGTAGAAGCAATCATCTAGTTTCCAATGGCTGCAAGCCATTTTTCTGCCCACAAGATGCTGGAGTGAGGACATTGCCCTCACTCCACAGTGGCTCTACAACCGTGATATGTAGCCAAGAGCCTGGCTCAGCTGTGATGCTAAATGTTATACTAAATGGATATAGAATCTGCTTCTATTTTCAACTAATTGCAGCTTGTCCTTTTTTGTCCAAGCTTGGAACTGTGGTTAACTTTAACTGTGGTGCTACTCATGATCCACAGGAATACTCACCACTGAGAATAGGTGTTTGTCCAAGCAAGGCCAGGCCAGGGCGAAGAGCCAGAACTCTGGAGGAAGATCAAGGTGTAGGAATCCTCTTTTCACTTTCATCTGGCTTTCATCTCACTTTCATTATTAGTACCTACTTGGACTGAAGCTAATTTACCCTGTAGTCCTATACATGTTTATTCAAAAATAAGGCCTGCAAGATCCAAAGGGACACTCCCAGGTAAACAGGCATGACTGCAGTCCAAGGCCGCAATCCTACACACGCCTACCTGTGTAGGTTCAGTCCCACTGAACTCAGCAAGGCTTTTTGAGTAGAAATGCACAGGATTGTGAAGTCAGCCCCTTTTAAATGAATGGGGTGGACATCCAAAAACTAGTTAAATCTAAAGTATTTATTTGAACATAGTTTTGTCCCATATAAATCAGTATGATATCAGCTTCAGTTCAAGTGCTCAGTTGTGTTTGATTTGTGGAGTGCAGCCAAAATATCTTCATTTTTCTTTATACTGAATCCCTACTTGCTCATCTGTCTCTGGCTCTTAGTAACTCTTTAACAGCTGCAACTTGGCACTGAATCTACTTTAACTTCACTTTTGCCAATATGAATAACAGAATTGAATCAAATATTGTTAAACTCCAGAGTTCTGACAACCCAAAAATCAGTTATTAGAACGCACACTGTGTCTTCCAGGCAGAAATAATATTCCAAAATACCCCAACAATTATTGGCTAACAAAAAGGTCTCTCACTGTCTTATTCACTAATAAGACAATGGATCAATGTTTGTTATTCTCAGATTCACTTGCCCAAACCAGTAATGTGATTCAAATACCACTCTGTAAATGGGTACTAAGCTTGCAGTATAGGAGAAATATTTGCATTTTGAACCTGCTTCCAAAAAGAGCTTTTGGAAAAAATATTAATTTGAGTTCAGACTTGTAGTGCAGGTTTGGGGGATGCTGGACATGAGGGCTATAAAGAACCGTGAGAGGTTTGAGATCATACTCCTCGAAACATCTCACATATGTTTTCCCTTTCTAAAGCCTCTTTATTGGCTATGTGAAGTTCTCCCTGCTAGTACCTCCAGGGTCCTTAATCTGTCAACACTGGAGATGCTACAGATCTGTAAAATGTTGGATTTCACCCTGAGTAATGCACAATTAAGAGAATCAGTTTTCTATGGATACGGTGCTTTCTTAACTGAATAAGTGGCCTGTCCAGACCACTAATGGCAAACATTCTCCAAGGTATTTCCCAGTCCCTGCTGAGATCATTTAATTGGAAATGCCCAGAACTGAACCTGGGAACCTTATGTGGACAAAGCATGTGTCCTACCATTGAGCTTGGGTCCTCTTGGGAAACATGTCAAATATTATGGGTACAGCTCTACAGTAGCATGGATGAGGATGGGATGTGGTTTCTTAACACCATGGGCACAGCCTGACAGAAAGTCCCACAACTCTCAAGCAACACCAACAGGCAAAGCACTGAAGTCACACTCGCTTCATGTGGAAGCCGCTACCAGTAATTTCTGGTGTATGTACCAGCTTCCAGAGCATGTGAAGTGGGACAAGAACAAATATGCTGGAACGTGTAATAACAGGACAGTATCCCAATGTCTGCAAAGCAGTGACGTTGCTCCCGATAAAAATAATAATAATGAATTAAACAGAAATGTACAGAAAATAATCTAGCTATCCTAAATGTTATGATGGAGGAGAGTTGAATAAGACCTTATTGGCTCACTATTATTCCTTTGTCCCATCTTTGAATGCTCTGAGCCAGTAAGAGCCCACCACCCACTAATGTAGTGGAATGGTCTTCCTCAGACAGGTGCTGGGCTAAGTGTAATGTCAGGGATATTCCCAAGAATAACGTAAGAAGCGGAACAGGGATCCCCACAAACATCCCTTAGGTTATCATTACAGACACCTGAGAACTCTTGTGACAGTTTAGAAGCAAACATTTGCCTTTATCATATTGAGGCACTCCAGCCCAGATGAGAACCTGCTACTGTCTCTGACACAGTTTTCTGACACAGCCCTGAGTAGTTTACTAGTTAAAGCTTCATGTTCTACATTTCATATCCTGATGAATGCTTTGTCTCTACACAGTCCTCTTGAGGTACAGCAAGAGGTATAAATATAATTCAAATTTGGCAGCTGCAGAAAATTATACCTCTGCTTCAGGAATAAACAGGGGACAATATATCAAGCCCTACTATACCAGAACTGAAAGTGCTAGTCATGCCCAGTAGCTTTTAACATAAATTTGCAGCAGTAAACATTGAAAGCTTAAGGCTGATTTAAACATGACAACCACCATGTAGGGACCCACTGAAAAGCACTTCAGCATAGGTGTCCTCTGCTGCTGATTTCACATTTGGAAGGGTCTTACCTTGGTGGTTTTTCGAGTGTTTTAATCCCAGAGACTCACCATAGGCTGCTCTCTAATTTGCCATTTTGGAGTAAGAAGTTTAAACAGGTTGTGACTGGTCAACTCCAGGTTCTGTTGAATATCTAGATCTTTACTGGCTCAGTTTTTAGCCTGGCTTATGGTGCTGTCCCAATACACTTGGCTGCCTGAAGCAGAGCCCAAATGATGTCTGCACCCCTGCTAAGCCCAACACTTTAAAATGTGGCTGCACCATTAGGTACCAGTTCCTGCCTTCATCAGTCTCCCTTCATGGTGCTCCCTGAAGCAGGTTGCTTCACCCTGCTGAATTTGCAGGGCTGCCCTTGTTGGTTTAGAGAATGAAATTGTATTGGTCATCGTAACTGACAACTTACCCTAAGAATAGTCAACTAAGTAGTCTTCGTGACCCCATGAATTCACCTTTTCAAAACATTGAATATTGTATCCTTCTGGTCTGCCTTGGTGGGTTGGCAGCTAGAGGAACCACTCTCACTTGGTTCCACTCCTACCTGCAATTTAAGCTTCAAATGTGGTACTATGAGACTATGGGTCATCAAAGTTTTGTCTTCCTTGCTTTTGAAAATCTACTTTTGACACTACTTGGTGAAGTCAGTCTGCTGATGATAGATAGCTCTGTTTCTCATCTTCATCCAATTCAGATGTGGCAGTGACCTTGGCCTGAGTGGGGTGAGAGACATCATTTGCCCTTCTGCTTCAGGCAGTAATATATCTTGGGCCAGCCCTGACAATGTGATGCACAGCCTACCATTTCACATACAGCAGCAACTAAGCTTTATTTTGAACCATTTATGAGGTACTGTAGGAAAATTTCATTTAATTACAATTAATATGCCATTAAACAAAATAATCAGCTTCTTTGCGGGCTACCGCAGTGCAAGCAGAACACACAGCAGGCAGAGGGAGCAGGAGGGAGGGACTCTGGCTCTCGTCCTCCTTGTTATGAAAATAGGCATGTTACAAGCGTGTCCATTTTCATCTGTGAAATGCTGGAGGATATGCCACTGTGTTCCTTTCACCCAGTTATTTACACATGTGCTGTGTCATTTTCTCTTTCTCTGCCAGATGTTATTCTCCACTTTCGTCAGTCAGACTGGGGCCAATCATTCCTCAGATCTCCACTCGAGTCAGTCAGCTCTTGGTTACCATCCTCTCCATTTCCCCAGCTGTTAGTTTTCACATCAAAGCCCCAGTGTTGCCCCTAGTAACCTGCTAGGGCTCGAATTCTCCTTCCCTACATGCTCAAAATGTAAAATTGGCTCACAGAACCATTTACAGTCAGGCTCGAAACCTCGTGAATGAACTCTGCAAAGTTTTCATACCAACCTGGTTCACACATAACACTAAACCATTGGTTTAGTGTTATGTGTGAGCTTGTCCATTAGCTTCGCTATTATTTGTTTGCTTTCAACAAACCACTGTACTAAACCATGGTTTGTTGTTGGCACATGAACCTTGGCTTGTTTTAACTATTGCTTGGTGTTATATGTGAACCCAGACCGCTTCCTTAACTGTGGCTTGTTTAACTACCACACTCCAGATTCTCCTTAGCTATAAAGACCAGCTATATCAGCTAGAAAACAAAACAAACACTGAAGAAACAAGCCATGATTTTCTGAAAGCCTTTGTGACAACTCATAGCTGAACAAGCCATGACTTAGTATTATGTGCAAACTAGGCTACTGTCTTATTCCTCAGGTGGAAAAGCCACCTAATTAGGCACACTGAGATAATTGCCCTCAAGCTCAGTCATGCTACTGTGCCTCTCCTATACCCTTCGATTCCCTTCTTCTCACCTGGGACCAACTTATAAAGTGAGAGGTACCCTATAATGGTGTCATCATAGCTCTTCTTCTAGCAAACAAAGTAGATTCTGGAGTTAAGCCCTCTAGGGTCAAATTAGAAATCACAATAAATACTTGGTTAGCACTCACTCTTGGATGTGTGTGTGGGTTTTGAAGGCAGATGAGGAGGGGATATTTTTGTCCCTTTTCTTCCCTGCAGCAAAAATATCCACATATGTTATTAGCCCCAGAGGAAAGCTCTGCTTGGTGTCAGTGGAGGAACAATTTTCAGTAGAACCTCAGTAGGAAAGGAAAAGGTTAAATCTCACTCTTCCCTGCCCCCTGCTACATTCCCAATAAGCACTGTCATCACATGTTCCATTTTTAAAACAGTGCAAGCATGATTGCTACCGCCACATTTGGCATCATGTCTAGTTTGGACCTTACTTTGCAGCCCTGCTTTTGATAACATGGATCATGTCCCTAATCTATAACATCACTTTTATATTGAGGCATTCCAACTGAACCAGCTCAATTTGATTGTAAAACTATTTGTGTAACAGAATGGAAAAATTAGACCCCATGATCTTAGTCAGTAACCAACCAACACAAAAGTAAATAAACCAAGTAACTTGACTGTACTAGCAACTGAACAAATGATGCATGTTTTCAATTTGGTCTCAATAGAAGAAAAACTTGTGGTGACTCCCATCTTTAAAGCATTAATTGTTCTAAATACTACTGACACATATCTGATGCTAATTAGAAAAGAGTAAATGAGGAAGGTATGGGGCTAGATGGAAAGAATTCTTTCTTTTCAGCTGTATGTCATCAGAAAAATTGAACGTGGAATCAACGTTCAAGGTTTCTGTTCCACCCCCAAAAAAAACATGAATTGCTCTATTCTATAATGTATGGTGCAGCAGCATGGAAGCAATTTTGTAAGAAGACCTGGAGAACTGCTGCACTGGTTTTTGTAACAATCAAAGGTAGCAAATAGTGGTTGGTAAATGAACAAGCTAAAGGGGGGAAACAAATTGCTTTCCTCTGCCCACTGACCCTCTCCAAAACCTTGGAAGATGGTAGAGCATTTTGAGGGAACCTCAACACGTTGTCCTCTTGTACTGCCTTCTCAATATTTACTAAGAGAGGAGAGACAGAAAGAAGGAAAACCTCTGCCCTACCTGTTCAAGCAT